GAAACTTGTCTCCCACCCTCAAGAAGTGTGAAGAAGAAATGAAGAACAAGAAATGCATGCTTTAGAGAACTCTGAATACCAGAGCCTGGGAGGTGAGGGTGACCACAACAGGCATGGGAGGTGGCAACAGGAGCCTAGTGCAGTGAGCTCACAGGTGACTCCCCGAAGCAACTGACTATTGATGGAGCCCAGGAAACAGCAGTGAAAGACTTAATTTCTCTGAATACGCAGCATTTGGGGCCCTTGGCCCATGTGGAGCCTTGATCAGACAGCAGCGCGCTGAGAGCAGACCATGTCTTGCCCTGCGTGGGGCTGTGGGAGGTGGGACAGATCTGCAGGGACTTTGGTGGCCTGGGAGGGCTCTCCGGATGGGACAGGGAAAGCAAGGGGAAGGCTGATGGTTATCACATTTTTTTTCCCTTCTCTCTCCACTCTTCACAGCGTGTTCCCCGGCTGTTAGTGACCTGTTCTCTGTCCCTTCCTCAGCATTGAGCTCTGTTGTAAATACATCGCACCAGAGGCCACTGTGATGCCGCTGTCTCCTCACCATCCTGCCCGACCATGTGACACCGGCTCCCTATAGACGGGCATCCTAGATGTATAAACCTTTTGTGTATTCCTGCCAAAAGCATTGTTTTCCAGGGCCTTTGACCAACCTCAGCCTCCTAGTCCAAGGCTCCCCAGCAGCTACCCTCTCCCTGTCCAGGGGTTACCCTGTCCCCCTGCCTTGGCCTAGGGTGAAACCTCCAAGAGAGCTGCCACCCTGGGCCCCCCATTCCTGGCGTTAGGCCCAGGTCCAAATGTCTCCCTGGGCACAGGGCCCTCCATTCCTTGAGATTGTTCTTGGCGTGGTCCTGCCCTAACTCATGGGATGGAACATGCTCAGGGTGGTCCTTATTTCCCCTTGCAGATAAAACACCAGTAGGTAACTTTTTATCCCAGTCTTACTCTTCCAAGCTTGGAAACCCAGAGAGGCCGGGATCCCATACTTAGTACAGGGAGGGGTGGTGGATAGCATCACAAGACACCAGTCTGAAAGGCAGGCCCAGCAGTCCAAGCACATGGCCTCCCACCTGGGGAGAGCCCATCGTCACACTCCCACATCTGGGCACCTGCCCTGGGCTGAGACCAGGCTGCTCCGAGGGTCTCTGGAGCCTTTATTTGCCACAGAGCAACCCAGGTTAAATACAGCCCGTGCACAAGGCCACAGGCCAGAGCCTGTGGAGTTGTTTTTAAGAATCAAATTTAACCATTTTCGTAATTGGTCCTTGGAGGTGTGCAGAGTGCCCGCTTGCCTCTCCTAGACCCAGCTTATCTTCTGTTTTTGTGGTTTCCATGTCCCTCTTCGTAGAGGCAGTCCAGCCCCAGCATCCTCAGTCTTTGCCGCTCCAGCTGCTTCAGCACAGCACTGCAGCTTCCCGCTGCTGGCCAGGCCCCCGGCTCCCCAGGGCAGGACGGGCAGTCTCCTGCAGCCCATCTTTTCTGTGACCATCTTCGGTGATACGTAGCCCCCTCCACCTTTCCACCCAACAGCTTCCTGTCCCTGTCCTGCTGCATGGTCCAGAGTCTCGGACCTACTTGTTTCTTTGTTATTTATGACCTTGTTTAAAGAAAATAAATATCTCCCAACCTTTATCAATCTGGTCTTTTCTCTATGGAATTGTCCTTATTCTGATATGGGGCCATGGGACAGTTCTTGGATTTGGTCACAGAGCTCCAGAAACCCACCTTCTGCAGCCGCTCAGCATATTGTGTCTACCTGCTCCCCAGATCAGGATGCCTAGTGGAATGGACAGAGCTGGGCTCCACTACAGGTAAAGAGACCTGGATTCCAGTCCCTTCTCCTCCAATTATTTGCTGTGTCAACTTCGGCCCAGAACAGGACAGTGTGTGCACTGTCTATACAACCTCAGACCCTCAAGGCCTCATACCTGCCAACACCCAAATGTTGTCCACAACCGAGGTTATCTCCTGAGCTCTAGACACTAAGGTCCATCTGCCTCCTCATATCTCTTCCAGGTGACCAAAAGCCACTTACATTGACTAGTCCTAAAACTGATCTTCTCAAACTTGTCTGTCCTCCCTAGTTGAGTAAGTAGTAGGTTCCACCATCTCTCCAGTTGTCCAACCTGGACAGCCAGAGCTCCCTAGACAGTTCCCTCTCTTACAACCATACCCAGCCTAGCCCCAAACACTATCCATTCTCTTTCGTATGTCTGCTCTTTTCTATCCCACAAGCCCTGCCCTAGCTTAGGCCTCTTCTGTCCGCCAGATCACTTCGGTACCCTTGCTGGTCATCTACCCTGCCACTGCCCCTCTCTTGGTCAT